GATGGCTAGATGGCTATCCTTCTTTGCGGAATATAACTTCGAGGTAAAGTATAAGCCGCGAAAGCAGAGTTCTTTGGCTGATGCGTTGTTACGCAGACCAGGCTATGAGCTTGCTCATGTTACAACTGTAACGTCGTCTGTGACGGATTTGATCTGCACCGCGTATGCGGATGGTGGGATGTGTGTAGCGTTGCTACGGGCTCTAGGGAGCAAGGAATTTGGAGGCTCGGTCAAGAATATCACCAAGACTGCGTGCACGATTGCACCGATATTCGTTGAGTAACGGCTTGCTATATTATAGCACCGATTCAACGGATACACCACGAAGTGTGGTTCCTCATAATGAGGATTTGAAATATCGCATCCTCTGAGAGGCTCACGACACGCCACTCGGTGTTCATCTCGGTCGTGAGAAAACGTACATTTCCGTGAATCACCACTATCAGTGGTCCAAGTTGTACAAATAGACGAGCACCTTTGTGCGCACGTGTGAGACGTGTCAACGGGTGAAACCCTTTCCAAATGCGGCTGCGACGCTGGCCAGATTCCCAATAACCACTGGGGGCTGGCAGTCCATATATTTGGACTTTGTGTTTGGTCTGCCGGAATATTCGGCGTGCAACACGTGTGTCGTGGTATTCGTCGACCGGTTGAGCAAGATGGCTCATTTGGCGGCGGTGTCAGGCACCATCGACGGAGTCGGTACAGCAACGCTGCTTGTAGATCGTGTTTTTCGACAACACGAACTCCCAGAGTTTCACGGGAAAATTTTGGTCGACTATCTTCAAGGTGCTTGGCACCAAGTTAGATATGTCGACAGCGAGGAATAGCCAAACGGCTAGCTGATGTCAGCCTCCTCACCATCCGCAAAGAAGTCAATGACTTCTTGTCTACCAGACTGAGTGTCCTACGACACGTTCGCGATGCGATGGCTGAAAGCTAAGATCTGCAAAACAAATTTGCAGCTGAAGAAGGAAGAGGCAAAGTAGAAAGCATAAGGTCGGGGACACGGTTTTATTAAATTCCACAAATTTGCCTACACATGCAGCCTCTGCTATCTTCCGGACGAAGCTTCGTCCACGGTTTATCGGGTCGTTTAAGATTGTGGTCAAGCGGGGCCTAGCGTATACGCTGAAACATCCAAAACGGATGCGCACCCACCTGGTGTTTTACTTGGGCTTGCTCAAGCCGAACCGGGGTCCGGCGCAAGTGATGCCGGAAGCGTTGGCGCCGGAGCGGATCCCACGGGCCCTCGGCCACCCAGAAGCTGAACCAGCATCTGATTCTGATCACGGAGTGCAAAAACCTCCATTTCCAATGACGCCAAGCGCTTCACCGTCGAATGGAGTGACGCATTCGCCTGCTCCACGGCTAGGGGTCGCTCCGACAGAGCGCAGTAGTCCTCAAGGCGAGGCAGCCGGAGCACGACGTGCTTCAAATACCCCAATAGCGTCCGCACAGCGATATGCTACTTCAGCATGACGCTCAGCAGAGCTCGGATCACGAAGGACCTCGTCGTCAAGGGCTCAAAAAGCATCGCGAGTCACCAGACGGCGGTCGACCCGGTCGTCACCGCCCATCACCGACTCTTCTCGATGAGAACGGTGAG